CTTTCCTTTGATTTTATTTATTTATTCTTTTAATAACTTTTTTTTTTTTTTTGGTCTTCTTTCGTTGTTATTCGTCCCTCTGAGGTTCTGGCTTTAGGATTCCTTGTAGTATTTTTTGGAGTGGGGGTTTAGTCGCAATGAAATTCCGGAGTTTCTCTTTGTCTGGGAAGGTCCATATTCTTTCTTCATGGAGGAAAGAGAGCTTTGCGGGATAGAGTATTCTTGGTTGGCATCTGTTTTCTTGGAGTCTGTTGACTATGTCCCTCCACTCTCTCCTTGCCCGTAGTGTTTCTTCAGAGAAGTCTGATGTCAGCCTGATTGGTTTTCCTTTGAATGTTATCTGTTTCTTCCCTCTTGTCAGCTTCATTATTTTTTCCTTGTCCTGGATTCTTGGGAGCTTTACTATTATGTGTCTTGCTGTGTTTTTCCTTTCGTCGTGGAAGTTTGGTGTTCTTCTTGCTTCTTGTATATCAATTTTCAGCTCCTTCTTCTCATTTGGGAAGTTCTCTTCAATTATATCCATGAATATTTTCTCTGTTCCTACATCTCTCTCCTCTCCTTCTGGAATTCCTATAACTCTTATATTTCCTTTCCTCATGGAGTCAGATAGTTCCCGAAGTCTTTCTTCATTCTTTTTCCTTCGTACTTCTCTTTCCTTTTCTGTTTTGGTTCTTTTTATTTCTGTGTCTTCAAGATTACTTATTCGTTCTTCCATTTCATCTATTCTGCTTTCATTGCTTTTCCCAGAGTTCTTTAGTTCCTCCATTAATTCTTTGATCTCCTGCATTTCTCTTACTTCCCTCTTTAGGGACTCAATTTCCTTCTTCTGATCTATCACTTTTTTAATCATGGCAATTTTAAATTCTCTTTCTGGAAGGCTCAGAAGTTCTTCCAAGTTGCTGTCGTTGCAATCTGGGGAGTGGTTTTCTTTTTGTGGTGTGCTTCTTTCCTGAGGAGTTTTTAGGTTGCGTGTGGTTCTTCTACTCCCTACTGTCTGTTTTCTAATTTGTCGTATGCGTTGGGACACTGTGTTGCTCGGACTGACTGACATCTTGGGTGAACTTCTCCGCTCCCCTCTGGCTCTTCCAGGAGCCATCTCTGTCTTCTGGGGGAGCTTTCTGCTGGTTTTAGGCAGTTTTTACTGAAGAAATGTCCCTGTTCTCAAATGGCGAAGCGGGATGCAGTCCCTGCGCCTCCGGTTTCAGGCACACTCTTCTGCGCACCCGGTCTGCCCCGGACGTGGGTGCCTGCTCCCTCTGTGGGCTCAGACTGCTGGTCGGAAGGGGCCTGGCGTGGAATAACTTCCCGGCTGGCCACTGGGTCCTCCAGAAACCTTCTGCCCTTTTCAAGCAGTCTTAAGAAATGTCCTGTTTTATAGGGTGTTAGTGACTTTTTTTTTCCTGGTCGCTAGGTGGCGCCAGAGATCTCTCCTATTGTCCTTGGGGGGCTGTTTTTCGCCTCCCCCCACCCCGTGGGACAGAGAACAGAGCGGGAATGGTAGGGTACACCTCAACAGCTTTGGGGTGCTGTGTCTGCCTTGTGCCCCACCGTCGTGGAGAAACCACGCCCCGAATTTTCGTGCCCCGGGTCTCAGTTCAAAGCCCTCAGTTCCAGGACGCGGGCTGTAGCCCAGTTCAGTGGCGCGGGAATGGCGCCTTTTGCACCGCTCCCGTGCCTGGGCGCCTGGTTCCTGCTCACTCAGGGAGGGACCTTCACCTCAGTGAGGACCTCCGCGCGTCTCCCCGCAAGCCTAGGTCGCAGGCGCGGGGACCTGGGCAGCCGCGATCCAGGTCTGCACTTGCTTTTCAAGCGCCCGAGCGCGCCGCGTTTCCGCGCCAGCTTACCGGCAGCCCGGGCTGTGTGCGCGTCTCCCGGGGTCTTTGTTCTTCTCTAATGGCGCCCGGAGCCGTTCGCTCACCGCCGCGGCGGATCCTGCAGGGTTCGCCTCAGCTCCCGTTCACGGGGTGTGGTGGCTGCAATAGTTCCTTTCCACTCACAGTCCCGCTTGCTGCGTCGTTTGTTCTTGTGGGCCGTTTTGGTTTGTTGTTTCCTCCTCTCTGCCGGTCGGAGAGTGCCGCCTCTGTGGGCGGGGGAGGGGAGCAGGGTTCTGCGCTTCCCTCCCTTCTAGTCCTCTTTTATGGCCACTTTCTTCTTCGGGCAGTTCGCTGGCGTCACCCGTTTATCTTCCGTGTCCCAGTTCTCACTGGGACCTGCCGCTTTTCCTCCCTATTCACTTTTTTTAATGGGAGATCTTACTCGCAGCGTCTCCTCGCCGCCATGTTGCTCCGCCCCCTCCATTTGATTCTTTTAACTTGGATTGCCCTATCATTGCATGTTAAGATGCTGTTTTTCACAAACCTGATCCTCATCAGCATGATTTTTTCTGGATGTGAAATGTAACAGCAGGGATCGTTTTGAAATGTTGGCCTACCTCTGTCACTTGGCCTAACAAATTGGGCCATGGAGTGAGAAGTTCTTAGCTTCCTACTGAAGTTGTCACTGGAAGCTAGAGGACAAGGGTGTGATTTCTAACACTTCAGGTTGATAATGAAGTAGGAAAATCAGTTCTAACAAGACAAATAAGACCTGTGGAATCTTCTCAGAATGTGAGTGATCAGAAACCCACTGACATGTCTTTCAAATAGTTCTCCCAACAGCATCTACCTGCTGGCCTAAACATGCATTCTTCTTACCCGAGACCAACAGAAACTTTTTTAAAAATTGCTGTTTTGTAGAAACTGAGAACTGGCCAGAGTTAAAGGTAGTAAAAGTATAACTTTGAGAATTGTGGGAGTTTTTAATTCAATTTTTGAATTGACTTTTTGGAAATTCTTTTAAGACACATGTTCCAAGTAAGCTTTTTCTTCTTACAACACAGAGTATTGTCTTGACAAGTCCACATGGGGGTCTAGTTTGAAGTGAGGGTTGTTGTCATCACCCCTTGTAACACCCTTTTTTGCCTCCAGCTGAGTATTTCACCCAATGAATATTCTTTTCACTGGAGGAAAAAAGTCTGAATTAGCAGTTATCCAAGTCTGATTAGAACAGTCCTACTTCCAACCACTTCTTCACCAGAATCCTTTCCTCTGATATTTGTGTTCACCCACTTGAAAGCATTACCAGAACCAGCAGGAACAATAGAATAGGTCCAGACTGAGAGGAGTCTCAGTGGGAAAGAAGAAACTCCTCTCTTCAGCTTCAAAAAAGGGTAATATTGGGCCTCCCTGGGATACAAGGGGTTAAGACGCAACCTATGAAACTATCCATAGCCACTGCAGCATGAGTTCGATCCCCAGCCAGGGTCTATCCACATGGCGCAGCAGACCTCTCCTGACTAGCCTGCTGTTCCCCTCAGCAGTGTATTTCAGTCAATTTGCCTGTTCTGTTCCCTGCTCTGTCTCTGGTGAATTCTTTCCCCCACACACACACACACACCTCTGGCCTGTACTCTAGTTCTTGTATACATAAATAAATAAATCTTTAAAAGGAGGTAATATTATTGATATACAGACTATGTGTATTTATTACATTACAGCAGTTTGACAGAAAAATGTGAGAAATAATTGGAAAAGAAGCCTCCTCATGACGAAAATAAGTGTTTGATATATTGGCATTTAATTGAGAAATAGACCAATTCTACCTTCTGTACATTCTTCCCTGCATTTTAGAGATCTCATCAAAGTGCTGAAGTGGTATGTGGACAGGATAACGGAAGCGGAGCGGCAAGAGCACATCCAAGAGGTGTTGAGGTAATAACACATTGTCCGGAACAGATAATGTCGTTGGACAGAACTGTTGCATAGAGGGGCCTAAACTAATTGGTTTCCTCCAGACAGCCAGTAATTGGTGATGATATAGCACTGACATTCCAATTCAAAGATCTTAATCAGTTTATGACTGTTCCAGAGCTGATGAAATTTGACAGGAAATTTGCCAGACTCACTCATTGGAACCTGTTCGGGATACAATCTGCTTCTGTGGGCTCTAGGGTACTTGAAGTTTAGGACTAAGACCAAGGAGGTTTTTCTGAGAGAGGGGTCAGCAGTTACTGGGTCTTGACTCAGCCACCCTGACAGAGGCCATCTGAGAACCATTTTCTTAAATTTTATAGCAGAGTATGGTGGCTTAGCAGGGTCACACTGAGGAAACCTGAGGTTTTGCTGGGTATTATGGTTTAACACTGCTCATGTCTCTGGGCCCTATGTGCTTAGTGCAATATGGAGATGTAAATACCTTACTTGCAAGCATGTTCTAAAAAAATCTAGTTCTTAATGGAATTGCCTAGTAGCTGCCCATGTAATTTTCTGATTCCTGTGTTGAATTGCACCCTAGGTGATTTCAGTAGATAAAAGCAGACAACTGTATGTTTTAAAGCACAAGCTATTTGTTAATTATAAATTTACCATTTTGGTCTGATTAAAGGTAAACTAAGTGGCAAGAATACCTACCTATAAAGCAATATCATTTTGAAAAGCAGAGAATTATCTCCTTGTTGACTGAAGTTAAAAACCATCTGAAGATCTCAAACACTTTGTTTATAACTCTCAAGAATTACATAAAAATTTATATTACTGTAAATTTTCTCTCATTAGGTATCAGAGAAAGATGTCTCTTCCCCTGCTAATAAATACAGTTCAGAAATCTCATGGGGCCTTAGTGTTTCAATCATAATTTTAAAATGTACTATTGTATCATGTTTTTTGTGTTTTTTTTAAAGATTTATTTATTTATTTATACAAGCGCTGGGTACAGTCAGAAGCGTGGGAGGGTGAGAGAATTCACCAGAGCCAGAGCCGGGAACAGAACAGGCAGACTGACGAAATACATTGCTGAGGGGAGCAGCAGGCGTGGCAGGAGAGGTCTGTCACGCAAAGTGGGACCCTCGCTGGCGGCTGGGGATCAAACCAGCGCTGCAGAGGCTGCGGGCAGCTTTGCAGCCCAGCGCTCAACCGCTGCGTCACCAGGGGAGGCCCTGTATCACGGTTTTTATCCTTGTTAAATAAGTACTCTTGGTCTCCTTTGAAACTGACTTTATAATTGTTTGTTTTAAGGCACAAGAATATATTTTTAAGTATATAGTTCAATCTCGGAGGCTCTTCTCCCTTGCCACTGGTGGACAAAATGAAGAGGAGTTTCGCTGTTGCATCCAGGAGCTGTTAATGTCGGTGCGTTTCTTTCTTTCTCAAGAGAGCAAAGGATCTGGAGCACTGTCTCAATCACAGGTAATTTTTCTTCATCTGTGCTGAATAGAAGAAAAATAAGTCTTGTTTATTTATTTTTCTGTATCAGCTTGATTTTTTTTTTTTCCACGAGAAATTCATAGTTCCAGTTCAGAAGTGTAGCTTAGCTGCCTAGACTTAAAAAGTACCCCAGCTTCTAGTGCTAGCAGAGCCTGGGCTGCTTTCCTCAGGCCGCCCTCACTCTGAGGGAGAGTCTTTTGGTTCCTTAGCCTGCACTCCAGTAGGTGTTCACCTACTGATGATTAGATGCTCTGTCACTGCCAGCCTTGGGGAAGGAATTAGGCTAGAGCCAATGTATTGAAGTTGTTTTCCCCACGCTTTGCACTGCACTTTAATCTGTCAATTTGAGAGTCATTGTATTGGACTCAACTAAACTGTGTGTTATTTTGTGTTATTTAACTTGATTCTAATCTTCCCAGGACTGATCTTATATAACCAATGCTGAGCAACTGCTGCCAAATACTATTACCGGGAGTAGTTCCACATGTTTTCCGTTAAGAACAGGAACCTTGTCCACTTTCCAAATAGCATGGCCTTGAACATGGTCTGAGAGTTTATTCTGAATATCTTTCTCTACACTGTCTTAATCCTTTTTGTACAGTTTTAATTCTAATAACTTGGTTAAAAGTCAGTCAGATTGGGAAGCAGCTTTTTGCTGTCGTTCCCTGGAGATTAGAGGCTTATTAAGAATTGGGACATAAAATGGGAGATAGGAAGAAAAAAGTAGGTTCCAAAATGATTGTTATAATTCAGTGCCATTTGCAAGTTGAAAGGAATAATACATAGTGATAAAACACCAGAAATGTAGCAGTCTTCCGATAATAGTGCCATGCTTTTCTGATTCTTTGGAAGCTGTTCTTGTTACTCTCTTCTTGCAGAAGTGAACTGATCTTCCATCTGGGCCAGGATACACTTCAGGCCTTTTAATGTTATTTTGACCTCTGTCTTCAGTGTTGCAATAGCTGCACTTTAGGAATTTGCCAGAGTCCTCAATGTCAGATTGCCTATAGCCAAACCCTGCTCTCAGCAGTTGATATTTGAAAAGGATAATCCAACAAGTTAGTTTGTATTCCTTTAGATCAAATTTCTCAGAAGTTTGATATTTCTACAAAAGCTATTGAAAATTTAAGTTTTCATTTTGAGATTTTTTTTTCTTTTTAATTGTTGTCAGTTACAGGAATAAAACGGATTGAGTTCACATCAGAAAAATATTTTCTTACCCTTAGGAGTAACCTCAAGTTGTGATTTTTCACTGATATGCCTTCACAGAGATTTAAGAGAATTTTTCCGTCTTTAAATTCTGAGAACTATTCATTTACCTTAGTTTTGTTTCCACTAAACCTAGCAGTCCTCTGAGATGCCTGGGGCTGCTCAGGTACAGGTATAGAGCCTCTCTCCTTTCATCTGTTTACTGTAGTGGCTTCCTCTGCTCTTGATGTCTAAGTTCTATTTAATCAAGTTAGTGAAACAACTTTAGCACCTTCCAAGAATCATATTTAATCTGTCTTTTTCTGCTCCTAGCTTCTCATTAGGAGGTAATATATAAAAGGTATACAGAAAGTTTCTATCTTCATAAACTCTGTTGAAGTCATTCTCTATTATTTTGTATAGTATCCCTTGTAGATTTTGGTGTGAAAATTGTATTTTAGTTTGATGCTAAGAAAAAATTCATATAAAATGACCAGGTGCTTGGTTGTCTGCATAAGTAGGAGGCTTTGTGTCTCTGTTTATAGAGACAAGGAGAATGCTATGCACTTCTACCCATTTCAGGTTCTTTTTTGACCCTATACCTTCATAGCTCTCTCTTCCAAGAAGAAAGGTTCCACTAATCTGATTGAGTGTTACTTGTCAATTGGTATATAACAAAGGAAGATATACTTAATAACTTAAAATAATACCCATTTATTAACTCATAGTTCTGTAGGTCAGAGGCTTGGTTAGAATTTTTCTTCTGGTCTGCTGTAGCCAAAATCAAAGTATTGGGTTTGATGGCTTATGTCATGGCTCTGGGGAAGCATTTACTTTCAAGATCTTTTAAACTTTTAGCAGAAATTCAGTTCCCTTGTGTTTGTATGGGTTAGATTCCCATTTCCTTGTGGCTATCATTTTGGGGTAGGGGAAAAGAAGGGAGCCCTCAGTTTCCAGAGGCCACCTCATTCCTAAGTGACCTCTCTATCATCAAAGCCAGCAACAGTATGTCCTTCTCATCTCCAAATCTCTCTGGTTTTGCCCGTCACAAGCCAGAGAAAAACTCCTATTTTAAGGGCTAATGTGATTAGGTCACACACATCTGGATGATTTTAAGATCAACTCACTAGTAGATGATATCTGTAAGGTCCTTTTTGCCAAGTAATATAACCTAACCATGGGACAAAGGTATTGGAGATCATCTCAAACTCTGCTATCTCCAGAACCAAGATATCCATTGGTCCAAGTTTTACTAGTAGGCTTCCTAAAAGCGAGAAACCCAGTTAACTTGCTCTGTTTTCCATATGGAATGCATCTCAGGGCACATCCTGTCTCCTGGAGGCAGAACATCCATGCTAGCAACCTTTCATGTTGGATCAGGGGACACCCTCCACATATCTGGCCATCCTGGTCCTAGGAGAGGCTTATTTAGTCATCCTGGCCTAACGCCAGGTCGCAATGACTCTGTCTTTGAGGGCCCTGTCCTGGGCAGGACTGCTGGATGACTGAGCGCTGTGGTGTGGCTCCTGGTTTCACATTCGGTAGATTGATCCCACCATAGGAACCTAAGACAAGAAAAGGAATGACAGGAATTGATGCCCAAGACTCTAGCTCAAATTTCTAATGATTATCTTTGTCTCTTTATCCAGTCTATCAGGAAGGCCACAACACAATTGTACTTTCATTTTATCATTGGTTCAGATGTCTGGTTACAACTCTCTGCCCTCATGAGAAAGTGTTAATTCCTTTATCCTTTTTAAATCTGGATGTGGCACTGCAGGCACATTCAAATGCTTTTTTGAAGGAAAGAGGTATAAATAAAAAAATTAATAAATAAATGAAAGAATTCCTGAAGAAAACTTAGTTGACTTTTCAGTAATCAGAAAGCTGGGTTCACTTTATTTTATTTTTTTAAACTTCACTGTATGACTCAGCCTTTTGCAGAGTGAAATGAAGGTTACATAAATACAGTCTTTAATAAGACATACTAAGTTATTCATTTTAAACTCATTCAAATGAATCTAAGTTTTAAGAGTCAAGGAGAACATGGCTGTTAGCCATAGCACCTTAAGCTTTTTGATGGCTCTGGTAGCAAAAGCAGATCTTCCCTCTTTGAGATGTTTTTGCTGCTGCTCTGTAAGTAAATACCCAAACCCACAAATTTGAATTGGATTCTGTATTTGAATCAACAGCAGCACATATTGACTCAGTCTGTTTTCTGCTGGTGTCAGACCTCACTGGCTCTGAGCATATTTCAAGTATGTGCCTCCTGGTAGAACTCAGGCTGGTGGACCTTTCTTTCCCTTGTCCTTCTTTTGTGGAATTTTAAAAGAATGAATTTGTTTCACCTCTTACTCTTGCTGTTAGCTTCATTTTTTTCCCTTATAAGATGATTATCAGGTTTCTTTATGTGAAGAATATTGTGCTTAGTACATAGTTTTAAGTTTACACTAAATCTTGAAGCAACCAAAGGGATTGTTCCAATGATCTTTTCATTTTACAAATGTTGAAGCTGAAACTAAGGGGGCTAAAATGACTTATTCAAGGGTCATACAGTGATTAGAAGCAAAGCTAGGCTATGTATTATCTAGATCTTCCAATGCCCTGTTATGCTTTTTTTTCTTTCGTCATAAATTGAGTGCCTTAGGGAATTAACGTGTTTGGTTTCTTAAAGGTAAGTGAGATTTAAATAAGCACTTAAGAAAACGCCTCAAAAAGAAATGTAATCTAAATCACTACTTTCTAGTTCTGGTTTGGGCATTCTTTTCATTTGATCATGCTGTAATTTGCTGAATCTGTGTTATTTTTGCCAATTGTCTTGCTACTGTTAGTGATTATCTAGAATTTCCCAATTTTGATTATGTTGCACTTTACACATGTCAAAAAATTATCCTGTTTTGCTGCACTTTCTAAAGAAAATTTGCTCTATGAGCTGTAGGTGCCAGAAATATCTTGCATGCATATTCTTACCATTCAAAAATATTTTTCAGTCTCAAATTCATTGACATTTTACAACTAATTTCTCATGACCTATCTGGGCTTGATATAAATTTCTTCTTTTTAAGGCCGTGTTTCTGAGCTCCTTCCCAGCTGTGTACTCAGAGCTGTTGAAGCTCTTTGATGTCCGAGAAGTGGCCAACTTAGTCCAGGACACGCTGGGCAGTCTGCCAACCATTGTGCACGTGGACGATTCCCTGCAGGCTGTGAAGCTGCAGTGCATTGGCAAAACTGTGGAAAGCCAGCTTTACACCAACCCAGGTAGGGTGGGGAGGTTCTTGGGTGAAACTGTCTCTAGAAAGCCAGTACTTATATCCTGTAAATTATAGGTCAGCAGAAGCAACTACAAAATAGAAACAGAAAACCTTTTGAAAAGCATTGTATATTTGGGTGGTAGAATGTATTTATTAAGTAGCCCCAAATACAAAAATATGGCTATTAAAATTTGATTTCTAGAAAGAATAAAAACCCTGATGATTAAATTATTCATTCTAATCACAAGTAGCTGTGGTGTAAGATGTGCTTTTTTTCTTCTTATAATTGTGTTTTTTTAATGTTCCTTGTTGATTATTGATGCTCAGTTTCTTGTTGATTATTGATGCTCAGTAGGTGGTAGAGAAATCAGGACTAAAGAGATAGAAAGAGAATCTGCCAGGGTCTAGGAGAAAGATATCGGGTCTTTGTGAGATATAATATAATCATTTATTGAGTTGGGATGGAAGAATTCAAGGGATCCAGGGAAAACGGACCCTGGAGGGTGTATGCCAGTGGCCTGGAGGAGAGATCTGGAGCCAAATTTGAGAGATTGGTGAGCACAACACTGAGGTTAGGGAGAAAGAAGAGGTGAAGGGGAAACTTACTTCTTGTGTTATGCAGAATGCTATCTGCAGAGGGTAATGGTAAAAAAGCGTAAACCAGGCATCCCTGTTGGCGCAAGGGGTTAAGCACCGCACTATGAAGCAATCTGCAGCCTCTGCGGCACGAGTTCAATCCCCTAGCTGGCCAAGGAGCAACCCACACGGCACAGCAGACCTCTCCTGTCTTGCCCATTGCTCCTCTCAGCAGTGTATTTCATTTAGTCTGTCTGTTCTGTTCCCCACTCTGTCTCTGGTGAATCCTCTCACCCTCCCCCAGCATCTCTGGCCTGTACCCCAGCTCTTGTATGCATAAATAAGTAAATCTTTGCTGCACCTCCCCCTGCAGTGACCTTTGGGCTAATGGCTTTCCCCACGGTCCCTAGGTCTGGCTGGGCAAGGAACCAGTGCCCAGGGGGAGAACAGCAAAACTCCCTGAAGCAGGGGGAGAACAGCAAACTCCCTGAAGACATAGATAAGACAGATACCTATCAAAAGATAACGACCACCAGGAGCCACCACAATAATGCTGACCAAAAGGAGCTTTATCTAGTCTCCTCAAACCTGCAAACTTTATCCCTTCACTCTCTTTCTAAAACTTCTTCCTTCTCTTCTATAAAGGTCTTTGATTGCTAAATTAAAGAAACATGTGAAATCTAGTAACAAGAATGAGTCAAATGAAACACCACTAAACCTTGTGTAACAACAAAATTGTTAGTTCAATAATTGCTATGTTATATGTTAAAATTCCTTAGCTTTGATCCTTAATGAAAAAATGTTATTACATAAAAAAATAATAAGTCCACCTGTTATAATTAATAATGATTAAGGAATTTAGTGGTTAGCTAGGAGAAAATGTAATTATATAAAACAAAAGACAAAATTAATAGCCTAACTACTTAGGAATGCGCCTGGGTCCAGATGTAAATCACTGCCCTGTCAATAATAAGCAAAACCTATAAGCAAGTTGATTTCATTCACTGATGTTCACCATTCCTATGCTCTTAGAAAACATTTATATACTGATCACCAACTCAACGAAAATTACACTCAGATTTTCACTCTCTTGAAGTGTGTCTGTCATTTCTTTCGCCAACGCCCTGACCACCCTGCACGCTTCTCTCAACCCTGAGACGGCCTCATCGTCTACTGCTGTGCTGGTCAGCGGCAAATCTTTAAAAAAAAAAAAAAAACATAAACTTGTGGAGAAGTAAAAGCATCTCTCAATCAGCCAAACACTTATAAGCACACAAAGATACTAAAATGCAGAAAGACTTTTATCAAGGCTTCAGGGGGCTGAGGCTTGGTTTGATGATTAAGACTCACCATTGAAAACAGAGACTGTCATGGTGAAATGACAGGGCACTAGAGGGTGGAGTTTCCTTCCATGGGAAAAACAGCAAGTGTGAATGAGAGTGTTCCAAGGTTCAAACTACCCTCTATTCTAATCACATGTGACCCCACAATACTGTTAGGGAAACCTGGAAAGTATGTCTCATAGCTCCAAAATTCGAAGTCAGAAACTATGGACTTACGTGATAGAAGGGGCAGATCTGTGTTGTCCACTTGAAAGATGAAATGTTAGCATGGAAGGAAGTTGTGCAATACAAGAGACAGTATCCATAGGTGTTGTCAGAGAACAGGATAGGATGTCTCAGTCTGTGGTTAAGAGGAGAATGTGATCCCCTTAAGGGCCGTGGTACATCTCACAAGAATAAGTAGATTCTGTCTAACTGTAGGGGTACACAGGGAGACCATATAAAATGGTGTTGCTCACAACATTAGGGGTGGGGGTGCAAAGCACTATAGTAAAAGAAGTTCAAGTAATAGTCCACTGACAAGGGTTAAAGCTAATACTTTTGACCTCTGCTTAGAAAAAAAAGTGCACACACTTTCTGCAAGAAAGTAATGATGTTTTTTTTAAAGTGTTTGAAATTCGGTTATCTCAGTTTTGTCATAGTTTCTGAGAAGTAATTATAACCAATTGACATAATGGATAAAATTTATCCAGGAAGTATGAAGTATATCACCACAATATAATGAAACAAAACTCAAGTTTTAGATAGTTTTCATGTATTCATTTTCTATTGCTGCTGTAAGTTACTACAAACGTAGTGACTGAAAGTCATACATGCTTTGTATTTTACATTTTTGTAAGGCAGAAGTTCAAAATGCTCTAAAATCATGGTGTTGGCAGAACTGAATTCTTTTGTGGATTATGTAGGAGAGAATATTGTTTTCTTGCCTATTGTCTTTTAAAGGCCACCTGAATTCCTTGCTTATGGCCCCTTCCTCCATCTTTAAAGCTGGCAGCATGGCCTTTTCAGATCTCTCTGATAGTGAATCTCTTGCCTCTTCACTTACAAGAACCCCCTGTGTTTATATCACATCTACCAGATAATCCAGGATAATTCCTCTGTCTCAAGATTCTTAATTTAGTCCTAAATATGAAGTCAATTTTACCACAACATAGTCACAACTTCTGGAATTTAAGATGTGACTGTATTTGGGGACCTGTTACTCTACGTATCACAAACACAGGGTAAAACAGTCTCAAAAATGATAATGGCTTAGCTTCATTTGGGAAGGTAAAAAGCCCTTAGAAATTTATGAATTTTGTTTCTTTATTGAAAGTAAAGAAATGAAACACAGACTTGCTACAGTTATGTGAGCTCACACATCTTGGCTAGACGGAAGTTACAAATGACATTTTCCTGATTAATATTATAAAACTGAAGCAGGCAAGATGAAATATGGAGAATGACATTACAAAGCATCCACTGGATATGTATTCAGCCGAAGATAAAGTACTAATTTCTTGACCGACCTTAATGACAGTTCTATTTCTCAGAACAGTATGATGAAGCCAGCTGCACTCTGAGCTTAATTCTGATCAGCAAAGAACTGGTTAGTGATAATAGAGATGAGAAAAGTCTAAGAAAGTGACCTCATTTTCTGGGGGATTCATATTAGTCAGAGAAAGGAATATAGAGTACAATTTGGCCCACATTTTAAGAATTGAATTTCAAAACATTTTAGAGAAAAAAATCTTAGATGTTACAAGCCTCCTAGAAGAGAAAGTTCCAATCCTTTCTTTTCTTTTCTTTTCTTTTTTTTTTTTTTTGATGCTAGGATCTTGTATAAATTAGGTTTTTCTAGAGAAACAGACCCAATAAGGTGTATGTATGTATGTATATTGTTTATTTTTTTAAATATTTATTTTTTATTTATACAAGAGCTGGGGTACAGGCCAGAAGTGCAGGAGGGTGAGAGGATTCACCAGAGACAGAGTGGGAAGCAGAACAGGCAGACTGACCGAAAGCACTGCTCAGGGGAGCAGTGGGAGCAACTGGAGAGGTCTCCCACGCCATGTGGGAATCTCCCTGGCCTGCCAGGAATCAAACCCTCGCTGCAGAGGCTGCTGACAGTTTCCCAGCGCTGTGCTCAACCCGCTGCACCACCGGCGAGGCCCTATATTGTTTATTATACATATGAAATATTTATTATAAGGAATTGGTTCATGGGATTATGTGAACTAAGAAGTCCTCAGATCTGCAGTCAGTAAGTCAGAGACCCAGGAGAGCCAGTGGTGAGGTTCTGATTCTGAAGGCCTGAAAGTTCCAGACCAAGTTTGAATGTGGGAGAAAACTGACTTCCCAACTCAAACACAGATAGAGCAAATTCCCCCTTACATCATTTTTTATTCCCTTTAGGAGTCCACTGCATCTGCATTGCTCAGTTTGCCACTGAGATGTTACTCTCATCCAGAAAGGCTCTCACAGACACACCTAAGAAATGTTTATCCAAATATCTGTCACCCCATGACAGTCAAGTTGACAATTAAAAACCATTACAAATTCCAAGGAGAGGAGGCATGTGAAGGAGGCAGCATGGTTATGAACACTGCTGGTTAAGCTGAGATTAGAAATAATACAGAGAGGACAGAGAAAGGGACATAGACAAAGGTTAGCAACAGAATGAAAAAAAGTCAGAGGGAGACCAGCCAGGTTGAGTTGAGGGTCACTCTGGCACCATAATATCTGGACAGAGTGGGCATAAGGAGCTTTCCCTCAGCCAGGCAGGTGGATCATCCCTTTAGTCCCACATGTCAGGTCAGACTCCAGGTTATCTGGACAGATCTGAAGGAAATAGCTAAGATTTTGGTATTCAAGTAGATTGTCATGTCTAAATCATCTGAAGTCTAGATAGACATATTTAATCTATAAAAATGGAGCAACTCCTTTCTCCCTCTTTCCCCATAGTTCTTTTCTTCCCATTCCTCAAGGTCAGGAAAGGGCCTCCGTGATATTGTAGAAGACCACTTTGGCAGTGACTAAAAGTTATAGAGTTGAAATATAAAGGAGGCAGGTGGGTGGTGGGGGCAGGTGAGAGCAGAGAGGAGTAGTA